CATTCTTGATTTTTTTTTTTTTTTTATCAGTTCATTTAATTAAATTTTCTTTTTCTTCCTTTAGTCTTATGTTTTACTTTTTTCAGATTTAACATTAATATATATATATATAAATATATGTTGTAATGTTTTTTTATTTCGAATATTCTTTTTAATGAATTTTCTTTTGTTTTTCTTTTTCTTTCTTTGTCATTCTTGAAATATGTTTTTTCCTGGATTTTTCTTTTTCAATTTTCTTTTTTTTTTGGGGGGAGTCAATTTTTTTTCTTTTTTTCTTTCTCGAAATAGATATTTTTTTTAATGGTTCTTTTTCTGGAATCTTTATTATTATTATTATTATCATTTTTCTCTCATTTATCACCCCCTCTCTCTCTCTTCCTCGTTTATCACCCTCTCTCTCTTCTTCATTTATCACCCTCCCTCTTCCTAATCTATCACTCTTTCTCCCTCATTTATCACCCTCTCTCTCCCTCTCCCTCTTCCTAATTTATCACCCTCTCTCTCCCTCTTCCTCATTTATCACCCCCCCTCTCTCCCTCATTCATCACCCCCCCTCTCTCTCTCCCTCTTCCTAATTTATCACCCTCTCTCTCCCTCTTCCTCATTTATCACCCTCTCTCTCTCTCTCCCTCAGATCGCTTCCCTCCGTCCCAAACTCCTTCCGGAATCGTCGAGTCTTCCCGAGGGCCTGACACCCCGTTGGGGCGACACGGCCTTTGTGAAGGACTGCCTTCGAGCGCACAACTTATATAGGGCGAGACACGAAGCCCCGCCCCTCGTCTTGTCCAATGAGGTGAGAGGGATTTAAAAGGAAGAGAGCCAATCGGAGTGAAGGAAAGAGGGGGTGGGATGGGGAGGAGGAGGGGGGGAGGGGGTAGGAAGAGAGCCAATCAGAGTGAAGGAAAGGGGAAGGTAGGGGGAGGGGGAGAGGGGGAGGGAGGAAAAGAGCCAATCAGAGTGAAGGAAAGATGGGTAGGAGGGGGAGGGAGGGGAGGAGGGGAGGAAGAGAGCCAATCGGAGTGAAGGAAAGGGGGGAAGGGGAGGGGGAAGGGGAGGGAGGGGAGGGGGTGAGAGGAAGAGAGCCAATCAGAGTGAAGGAAAGGGGGAGGGAGGGAGAGGAGGGGGGGAGGATGAGAGCCAATCGGAGTGAAGGAAAGAGGGGAGGGGGAAGGGGAGGGAGGGGAGGGGGTGAGAGGAAGAGAGCCAATCAGAGTGAAGGAAAGGGGGAGTGAGGGGAGGGTGTGTGGAGAGAGCCAATCGGAGTGAAGGAAAAGGGGGAGGGAGGGGGAGGGGGAGAGGGGGAGGAAGAGAGCCAATCAGAATGGAGGTTGAGTAGCCAATCAGAGGATGGGAAGGGGGGGGGAGATGGAAAGGAAGAGCCAATCAGAATGCGAGAAAAAAATGAGAGGACAGGGTGTCATAGGAATCTGTCATGACAGGACAGGGTGTCATAGGATGGTCTGCCATGACAGGACAGGATGTCATAAGATGGTCTGTCATGACAGAACAGGGTGTCATAGGAATTTGTCATGACAGGACAGGGTGTCATAGGATGGTCTGTCACATCCCTTGGTTGTGTCAAATCCTTCAACTGTGTCAAATCTCACAGTTGTGTCAAATACCCGGTTGTGTCAAATCCTCAGTTGTGTCAACCTCCACCAGTGTCAAATCCCTCTGTTATGTCAAATATCTCATTTGTGTCAAATCCCCAGTTGTGTCAAAACCCTCATTTGTGTCAAATCCCCAGTTGTGACAAATCCCTGTTGTGTCAAGTCCCTTATTTGTGTCAAATCCCTCGCTTATATCAAATCCCTCAGTTGTGTCAAGTCCCTCATTTGTGTCAAATCACTCAGTTGTGTCAAATCCCCAGTTGTGTCAAATCCCTCGCTTGTGTCAAATCCCTGGGTTGTGTCAGATCCCTAGCTGTGTCAATTTTCTCAGTTGTGTCAAATCCCCCCATTTGTGTCAAATCCCTTGGTTGTATCAATCTCCTAAGTTGTGTCAAATCCCTCGGTTGTGTCAAATCCCCAGCTGTGTCATTTTCTTAACTGTGCCAAATCCCCCAATTGTGTCCTTTTCCCCAGCTGTGTCAAATCCCTCAGCTGTCTCATTTTCCACAGCAGTGTCATTTTCCTCAGTTGTGTCAAATCCCCTAATGGTGTCAAATCCCTCATTTTCCACAATTGTGTCAAATCCCCCAACCGTATCATTTTTCCTCAGCTATGTCAAATTCCCTCAATCGTGTCATTTTTCCTCGGCCGTGTCAAATCCCTCACTTTCCACAATTGTCATATTCCCTCAGCTGTGTCAAATCCCCCAATCGTGTCATTTTCCCCTAACTGTGCCAAATCCCCAGTTGTGTCAAATCCCCCTCAATTGTGTCATTTTTCCTCAGCTGTGCCAAATCCCCATTCGTGTCAAATCCCCCAATCGTGTCATTTTCCTCAACTGTGTCAAATCCGTCAGCTATGTCAAATTCCCTCAATCGTGTCATTTTTCCTCAGCTGTGTCAAATTCCTCATTTTCCTCAGCCGTGTCAAATCCCTCACTTTCCACAATTGTGTCATATTCCCTCAGCTGTGTCAAATCCCCATTTGTGTCAAATCCCCCAATCGTGTCATTTCCCCCAGCTGTGCCAAATCCCCATTTTTGTCAAATCCCCCAATGGTGTCATTTTCCTCAGCTGTGTCAAATCCCCCAATGGTGTCAAATCACCCAAATGGTGTCAAATCCCCCTAGTGGTGTCATTTTCCTCAGCTGTGTCAAATCCCCACTTGTGTCAAATCCCCTCAATGGTGTCAAATCTCAATGGTGTCATTTTCCTCAGCCGTGTCAAATCCCCATTTGTGTCAAATCCCCCAATCGTGTCATTTTCCCTCAGCTGTGTCAAATCCGTCAGCTATGTCAAATTCCCTCAATCGTGTCATTTTTCCTCAGCTGTGTCAAATCCCTCATTTTCCACAATTGTGTCATATTCCCTTAGCTGTGTCAAATCCCCCAACGCTGTCAAATTCCCCAATGGTGTCAAATCTCAATGGTGTCATTTTTCCTCAGCTGTGTCAACTGGCACAGACTTGGGCCAACCACCTCGCTCACACCGGCACGTTCCGACACCGCAGCGACCCCGACTTGGGCGAGAGTTTATTCTGTCGGAACACCGCTCTTATTCTCAAAGGCAGGACGTCTGTGGCACCGGAGATGTCAGGTAGGTGTCAAGTGTCAAGTGTCAGGTGTCAGGGAAAGAGAGAGAGAGAGGAAGGTGAGAGGTAAAAAAAAAAAAAAAAAAAAATGGTTGAAGGGAAGTCAGAAACTCAGGCGTTCGGATGCGGAAAGAAAAATATTTTTGTGTATAATATTTTTATTATTATTATTATTATCATTATTATTATTGTTATTATTATTATTATTATTATTATCGATTTTGCTTCTGAAATTTAATCGCTTTTTTACTTCCAAAATGTTTAATTATATGCATGAAATTTATCCAAAGAGTTATATATATATATATATATATATATATATATATATATATATATATATATATATATATATATATATATATATATCAGTCATGCATGGTTTATGAATATCGATTTTTATCAAAACCAAATTTTTCATTTTAAAACTTAATGTTAAGTCTTTGCATGTTTGTAAATATATATATATATATATATATATATATATATATATATATATATATATATATATATATATATATACAATATTTTCTATGGCTTTTTTGTGTAACTCATCTCTGATTGGCTAAGAAAAGCCGACTTTCTCCTACTTTTGACCAATCAGCAACCGCCTCTGTGAGAACTACTGACCAATCACAGTTCAGCATTTTCTATAGCTAGCCAATCACAGTTCAGCATTTTCTATAGCCAGCCAATCAGCAACTACTTCTGTGAAAACTATTGACCAATCACAGTTAAGTAATATTTTTTATTAGCCAATGAGATTCCAGGATTTTTTTCTTCTTTTTTTTTTCTTTAGACGAGTTTCCAAAAACCACTTGGAAAGGAAATTCGTAAATAAGGTTCATTTTGCTTAAGAAATGTTTGGCTTTTTCGCCCTTACAGGTTCAGTCTCACGCGCGGATTTGGATGTTGAAGGTAAAATTTTAAATATTTTTTATTTCTTTTATACTGTCTCTCTTTCTCTATGTTTCTCTTTCTCTCTCTGTTTCTCTTTCTCTCTTTCTCTCTCTCACTATCTCACTCTCTCTCTTTCTCTCTCTCTCTCTCTCTTTTCCTCTCTCTCATATTTATCTCTTTCTCTCTTTTTCTTTCTCTTTTATCTTCTGTTTTCGTCTTTCGTCTATTTCTCTCTTTCTCTTTCTGTCTCTTTTTCTATTCTGATATTCTCTCTCTCTCACCTCTTCCTCTCTATTATTCTCTCTCCCTCTCTTCGCTTTCTCTTCCCCTCTGTCTTTCTATCTCTCTCTGTATTATCTATCTATTCTCTCTCTCTTTCGTTCTCTCTCTCTCTCTCTCTCTCCCTCTCCTTCTTCCAACTTTCTTTCCAGATATTTCATTATCAAGCTTTTCTCTTTATCTCTTTCGTCTTTGTATATAAGTTATTCATAATTATCACTATTATCATTATTATTATTACATTTTTTGCCTTTGTCATTGTTATCATCATTATCCTTATTATTGTTATTATTATTATCATTATTGGTATTATTACTACTATTGTTTTTATTATTATTGTTGTTGTTGTTGCTTTAATTATTATTAATTATTAAATTATTTAATTATTATTAATTATTATTATTACCTTCTTTCTCTCTTTAAAGTCTCATTTAAATCTCTCTCTCTCTCTCTTTTATCAGCCCCCCCCCTCTCTCTCTCTCTCTCTCTCTCTCTCTCAATCTCTCTATCTATTTATTCGCCCCTCTCTCTCTCTCTCTCTCTCTTTATCAACCTCTCTCTCTCTCTCTCTCTTCTATCAACCTCTCTCTCTCTCTTTTATCAACCCTTTCTCTCTCTCTCTTTTATCAACCTCTCTCTCTCTCTCTCTCTTTTATCAACCCCTCTCTCTCTCTCTCTCTCTCTTTTATCAACCTCTCTCTCTCTCTCTTTTATCAACCCCCCCTCTCGCTCTCTCTCTCTCTCGTTTATCACCCCTCTCCTCTCTCTCTCTCTCTTTTATCAACTCCTCTCTCTTCTCTCTCTTTTATCAACCTCTCTCTCTCTCCTCTCTCTCTCTTTATCAACCCCTCCTCTCTCTCTCTCTCTCTCTCTTTATCAACCCTTCTCTCTCTCTCTCTTTTATCAACCTCTCCTCTCTCTCTTTATCAACCTCTCTCTCTCTCTTTTATCAACCCCTCTCTCTCTCTCTCTCTCTTTTATCAACCCCTCTCTCTCCTCTCTCTCTCTTTTATCAACCCCCTCTCTCTCTCTCTCTCTTTTATCAACCTCTCTCTCTCTCTCTCTCTTTTTATCAATTTGCTCTCTCTCCTCTCTCCTTTATCAACTCCTCTTCTCTCTCTCTTTTGTCAACCCCCTCTCTCTCTCTCTTTTATCAACCTTCTCCTCTCTCTCCTCTCTTCACTCCTCTCTCTCTCTCTCTCTCTCTCTCTCCCTCTCTCCTCTCCTCTCTCTCTCTCTCTCTCTCTCCTCTCTTCCTCCTCGATGCTCTCTCTCTCTCTCTCCTCTCTTCCTCCTCTATCTCTCTCTCTCCTCGCTCTCTCCATCTCTTCACTCCTCTCTCTCTCCTCCTACTCTCTCTCTCCCCCTTCTCTCTCTCTCTCTCTCTTTTATCAAACACCTCCTCTCTCTCTATCTCTCCCTCCTTTATCAACTCTCATCTCTCTCTCTCTTTATCAACCCTTCTCTCTCTCTCTCTCCTCCCTCTTGTAATTCAATCCTCTCTCTCTCTCTCTCTTCTTATCAACCTCTCTCTCTCTCTCCTCTCTTTTGTCAACCACTCTCTCTCTCCATCTTTATCAACTCTCTCTCTCTCATCTCCTCTCTCTCTTTTATTCAACCCTCTCTCTTCTCCTATTTTATCAACCCCTCGCTCTCGCTCTCTCTCTCTCGCTCCCTCTCTTCCTCCTCTCTCTCTCTCTCTCTCTATCTCCCCCTCTCTCTCTCTCTGCTCTCCTATCTATCTCTCTCTTTTATCAACCCCTCTCTCTCTCTCTCTCTTTATCAACCCCCCTCTCCTTATCTCCCTCCTTTATCAACCCCTTTCTCCTCTTCTTGCCCCCCTCTTTAACAACTCCTCTCCTCTCTCTTCTCTCTCTCTCTCTCTCTCTCTCCTCTCATCTCTCCCCTCTCCTTTATCAAACACCTCTCTCATCTCTTCTATCTCTTTTATCAACCCTCTCTCTCTTCTCTCTCTCTGTTTATCAACTTCTGCTATCCTCTCATTTTATAACCCCTTCCTTCTCTCTCTCTCTTTTATCACCCCCCTCTCCTCTTCTCTCTCTCTCTCTCTCATTTATGAACCTCTATCTCTCTCTCTCTCTCTCTTTTATAAACCCATCTCTCTCTCTCTCTCTTTTATCAACCTCTCCTCTCTCTCTTTTACAACCCACCTCTCTTCTCTCTCTCTCTTTTATCAACCACTATCTCTCTCTCTCTCTTTTATCAATCCTCTCTCTCTCTCTATCTTTTATTCAACCTCTCTCTCTCATCTCGTTTATCACCCCCTCTCTCTACTCTCTCTCTTTTATCACCCATCTCTCTCTCTCCTCTCTTTTATAGCACTCCTCTCTCTCTCTCTCTCTTTTACAAAACCTCTCTTCTCTCTCTCTTCTCCCTGTTTTTTATCCCACCAAAAAAAACCCGCCCTCTCCGCTCTCCTCTCTCATTTCTCAACCCTCTCTCTCTCTCTCTCTCTCTATTTATCAACCCCTCTCTCTCTCTCTCTCTTTTATCAACCTCTTCTCTCGCTCTTTATCACCTCTCTCTACTCTCTCCTCTCTTTGTGTCACCTTCTCGCTCTCTCTCTCTCTTTTATCACACCCTCTGTCTCTCTCTCTCTCTTTTATCACCCCCCCCTCTCTCTCTCTCTTTATCAACCTCGTCTCTCTCTCTCTCTCTCTCTTCTATCAACCTCTCTCTCTCTCTCTCTCTCTCGTTTATCACCCCTCTCTCTCTCTCTATCTCTCTCTTTTTATCAACCCCTTGCTCTCTCTCTCTCTCTTTTATCACCTCGTCTCTCTCTCTCTCTCTTTTTTCAACCCCCCTCTCTCTCTCTCTCTCTCTCTCCTTCTTATCAAACCAAACCTCTCTCTCCATCTCGCTCATCTCTCTCTTTTATCAAACACCTTTCCTCTCTCTCTCGCTCTCTCTATTTATCAACCTTCTCCATCTCTCGCTCCTTATCAACCCCTCTCTCTCTCTCTCTCGCTTTTATCAACCTCCATCTCCTCTCTCTTTTTATCAACCCCTCTCTCTCTCTCTCTCTTTTATCACCCCTCTCTCTCTCTCTCTTTTACACCCCTCTCGCTCTCTCTCTCTTTTATCAACCCCTCTCTCTCTCTCTCTCTCTCTCTCTTTTATGACCTCTCGCTCTCTCTCTCTTTTATCAACCCCTCTCTCTCTCTCTCTTTATCAACTCCTCTTCTCTCTCTCTCTTCTCTCTCACCTCCTTTTATCAACCTCTCTCTCTCTCTCTCTCTCTTATCAACCTCTCTCTCTCTCTCTCTCTTTTATCACCCAACCTCTCTCTCTCTCTCTTTATCAACTCCTCTCTTCTCTCTCTCTTCTCCCTCTTTTATCACCCCCCTCTCTCTCTCTCTCTCTTTTTTTTATCAACCCTATCTCTCTCCTCTCTTTTATCACCCAACCCCTCCTCTCTCGCTCTCTTTTATCAGCCCCGCTCTTCTCCCGCCTCTCTCTTTTATCAACCTCTCTCGCCTCGCTCTCTTTTATCAACCCCTCTCTCTCTCTCACTTTTTATCACCTCTCTCTCTCTCTCTCTCTCTCTTCCCCTTTTTCACCCCTTTTCTCTCTCTCTCTCTTTTAATCACCCCTCCTCTCTCTCTCTCTTTTCTCAACCCTCTCTCTCTCTTCTCTTTATCAACCCCCTCTCTCTCTCTCTCTTTTATCAACCCCTTTCTCTCCTCTCTCTTTTATCACCCCTCTCTCTTCTCCTTGTATCAACCTCTCTCTCTCTCTCTCTCTCTTTTATCACCCCTCTCTCTCTCTCTCCAGTTTATCAACCCCCCCTCTCTCTCTCTTTTATCAGCCCCTCTCTCCTCTCTCTCTCTCTTTTATCAACCCATCTCTCTCTCTCTCTCTCTTTTCAACCCCTCTTTCTTCTCTCGTTTAGCAACCTCTCTCTCTCTCTCTTTTATCACAACCCCTTCTCTCTCTCTCCTTTTATCAACCCCCCTCTCTCTCTCTCTTTTATCCCCCTCTCTCTCTCTCCTCTCTCTTTTATCAACCCCTCTCTCTCTCTCTCTTTTATCACCCCTCCTCTCTCTCTTTTATGCAACCCCTCTCTCTCTCTCTCTCTCTTTTATCACCCCTCTTTCTCTCTCTCTTTTATCACCCCTCTCTCTCTCTCTCCTTTTATCAACCCCCCCCTCTCTCTCTCTCTTTATCAACCCCCCTCTCTCTCTCTCTTTATCAACCCGCGCTCTCTCTCTCCTTTATCACCCTTCTCTTCTCATCTCTCTCTTTTATCAACACCTCTCTCTCTCTCCCTCTTTTATCAACACCCACTCTCTCTCTCTCTCTCTCTCTCTCATCTTTATAATCAAACCCCTCTCTCTCTCTCTCTTTTATCAACCCCTCTCTCCTCTCCTCATCTTTTATCACCGCTTCTCTCTCTCTCTCTTTTATCACCCCTCTCTCTCTCATCTCTCTCTCTATCTTCTCCTCCTTCTCTCTCCTTTATCCACCCCTCTCTCCTCATCTTCTCTTTTATCGACCGCTCTCTCTCTCCTCTCTCTCTTTTATCACCTCTCTCTCCATCTCCTATCTCTCTCTCCTTTATCAACCCTCTCTCTCTCTCTCTCTTTTATCAACCCCTCTCTCTCCTCTCTCTTTTATCGACCGCTCTCTCTCTCTCTCTCTCTTCTCTCTCTTTTTATCAACCTCTTCTCTCTCTCTATCTCTCCTCCTTTATCAACCCCTCTCTCTCTCTCCTCTCT